CTCTTCTCTACGACTCCGATTAATGACCTTAGATCGAGCGAATTACTATCATTCTATAAGCATTTTTTTCCCCTACATGATATGTAAGAGCATGACTACGAATATCCGAACACAATTGTTCGCTCACCGACTCGTTTTCTCCTTGCTGACGAGTTCCAAACAGGACGAAACAGCAGTCCATTGCTCTTTGTTGGTCATCACAAACATTTCCATTCCATTTGCATGTCACGGGAATATTCCAACTGTTGAAATGACTCTGTTCCCCAAAGTATTCCGTGAGATGATTATTCACACTGCCGGTCAAATCTACACACATTTGTATCGGTTCTATTTGCTTCCTTCATTAAATCTGAGAGCACTAGGGGCTCGTTCCCTCGCCTCGTTGCCAATCTGTTCCCGTTTATGACTGACTGATCTACCACCGATTTGGTTTCGGACTCGATCGCATACATTTTGGATGAGCTTCAGAGAATACGGATCGATTTTTCACGTGGCCTGATTTCGCTCTGTATTGAAAATCTTTTTTTTTCTTGCTTGGTATTGCATTGGGTCGATAGTTTATGCTACCCAAATATAATTTACAGTAAAATACGAGAGAAGTGTAATAGGGAAACGTTCACAATGGATCCACTCTGTTGGTTTGTGTTTTGCACATGGACTGATTGTAGATAGAAGGAAAAACACACATAGACTTGAGGTGTAGTTGTTGTTTGTTTTGTCCCGGGTGGGAGGGGGAATCAGAACATTTCGGAAGGCATTTTTTTACCGGACCTAAAAGCTGGGCTTTGGAATTACAAGTAAATAGGAAGGGAGTTCAGGTCGGATGACCAGAGTGCAAAAGTTTGAACAGGTCACTGTCGGACTGTGTGTGTGTGTGTGTTCGATTTGTTGTCCAAGAGGAGTCATTGGTAAAGCACATTGGTTTGTATTGAATAAGGTCAAATAGGGAGCGACAGAGACCAATTAGTGTGGTTGATCACCTCGTCGTTCGTTGATATCTCAACTTTATTTTTTCCGTGCATCTTTTCTTTCTTTTATTTCCAGGGTGAATGCGATTTGAACGCCGCCACGCGTTTTGTTCATAGCACATACGCACAAGAACTTTTGATCGGTGAAGTGTTTGTCCGATTGTACAATCGGCATCCGTCGTACCAACTTGAAGTGAGCATCGATCCACTGTTTTATGCTGTACTCGCTATGAGTCTTTGCAGTGCGCTCCTGTTTTTTAAACACTTAGGTTTTCGTTTTGGGGATAGTTTACCGGACTCTAACCAAACTTTGATTGTTTTGTGGCACTCCTGCACATGATTGTATTTGTGTGCTACCATCATTACTAGTACGCTAATAGTAATAACAGCAATGAAAATATGAATTATAAGAGATACCCGACCGTTAGCTTTTTAGTGTGAGTTCCCGAAAAGCAACCACTGAGATACGTTTACTGAAATTAGATTAGAATACCGAATCACGACAGATGGTATAGTGTATAAATTCTAGAGAAATGCGAACGTGTACGTTTCGTTCGCTTTTCGGTGTATATGGAGGTGCCCTGAAATATCACTATCCCGTCAGACCGAAGCTCGTATTAACTACTCTAGTCTCTTCGTCTCTACCTTTGTCTTCTCCTTCTAGAATCCGAAAAGTTTTGCCATCGATCTGCTCAACTTTATCGAACAACAGTTGCCCAATCTGACCCCGAGCGAGGCCGTAAAAGCCGATTTCCCGTCTCGTTCGTCCAGTCCGATCGATGGTGAAGTCGACTCTCCTCCTTCCTCGCCGGATTTGGAAGAGATTGATTGGGCCGCAGAAGCCATGAGCATCAGTGATCAATGTGCCAGTCAGATGAGCTCGGCATTGGAAGCGCTGTGCAATGTGATTCGTCACAACGCGGGTTAGTTCAATGATTTCGAATATAAATTCAAATTGAAATATTGACTATGGGAAAAACCTACAAAGACTTCGCTTATCAAATCCCATAGGATGTTTACACTTTGGGTTCGGAACACAATTCACAAGATCACAGTTAGTCCACGTACGTAATAGAGTAATGTAATGTGACGATCACAGGAGAATATGTTATGTAGTTGGGTGTTAAAACAATGTTTGGCAGGGCATCATTAAGCTGACGCTTGAAAGATACTAATGTTGGCGCACAGACCACGTGAGGTGGTAGAGTTCTATGTGCTGCAAACGAATGGCGTCTACAGTCAAGACGGCTCTTTTGGAGTGCCAACTTCAGTGGATGAACATTGGTTGATAGAACCAAAAGAGATCTACATGGACGGTGGAAACTCCGGTACAGTAAGATCATATCACCTCTGATTGGACGATATTGAGATGAGTGTAGCTCCAATAGCGGTAATCTTTCTCAATAGGTCTTGGAATGTACACCTTTTACCATCTTGGTAGCCATTCTCTGCGGATGTTCAAACACCTTCCGATCTCGATGCAGCCATGGGTTTCAGGCCCAAATTGGGGACACGGTGTATGGAGGGATATAGGTGGTTAAAAGACGTGAAAACAAAGCCGGCTCCACCGATCCAAAAACACGTTGAAGCAGTCCAACCTGTTTTACCGCCATGGATGATGCCCTGGAACAGTTTGTGGAGCAACTGAAGTCTGCGTGAATGACTACTCCCAGATCCTTCTCGGATGAAGCATGAGGCAGAGGTTCGTGCCCGAGAGTGTAGGAAGAACGACCATTATGACGTAGTGATAAGAATTTGCATTTGATAACGTCAAATTCCATGTCATTGGAGACAGACCATCTGTGGACTTCGTCAAGGGCGTTCTGGAGATCAAATGAATCCTCTAGTTTTGATATTGTTGGCATCGTCTGCAAACAGTAGAGTTTGTGGCCCGAGGACATCTGAAAGATCACTTAGAAAGGCAATAAAAAGGCTTGAAACCATTACAGATCCCATGGGACCTCACGGTTGATATCTATTGGATCAGAAAGTGAATCGGAAACACGAACGGGCATGGTACGTGGTCGAAGAAACCCCCCGATCCAGCCAAGTATGAGTCCTCCATAGTTATACAGCTTCCGTATCAGTATTTTATGATTTACCCTATCAAATGCCTGAGAGAAGTCCAGGTAAATAACATCTACCGCTTTGTCTTGATCTATAGCATTGGTCCAAACGTCCCGAGCCAAAATCAAGTTAGTTGCGCATGACCAACTTTTCCGAAACCCATTATTCTCCAGATGTTCCATTACAGTATCCGTAACAATGGATTCCATGACTTTTGACACCACTGGAAGGAGTGACGGATCGGTAATGGGTTGGGTCACTACGGCATCCACCTTTGTAAATTACTAAAATAACACCGTTTTGCCACAACTGAGGAAACACAGTATCTGATATGATATTTGGAGATTTTCGTGCCATAGCTCGAGTTAAATAGCTGATGCGATTCTCTCTTATACTTACAGGAGTTGAATTGCAATGCATTGGGCACTTCAAGCTCCTGTTCTCCGTTATGGAACAACACGGCTATGCGGATCTACAGACTCGCGCCCTCGAAGTAAGTGAGTTTTTTTTTGCTATAAGGGATATTAGATATTTTCCAACTGTGCAAAAGCTCAGTAACCTCGGTGAAATTTGACCCCATGTATGAGCGCCACCTACGCTTTTCATGATACAGTCTACCAAACAACCCAATCAACTTGAACATGTGACTCGGCCTTAGAAGCTTATTCGGTGAATTCTAACTGATTTCATTGATTCATCTTCTAGCCAATACAGGTCGTATAGCGAAATAACATTGGAAAGGTGATCGAGGATTTGATTGCAATTTCAAAGGTGAAATTCGTCGTGTATGTATAGCAAATGAAGGGTGAACTGAAAAGCTAGGAAGCACTGGACAGCAGTTTTGACCTGGTTGGGTCTCATCAGCAAGGCGACTCCATCGACCCAACTGCGGATCGGGAACCCGGGACCTCACAGGTAGGACGTAAGCATACTACCACTCGGTTATCTCGGGGCAGCTGATCAGACCGTTTTTCATTTTCCATTTACACGATTTAGCACAACCCATCTTTGCGATCTTTGTGCAGGCCACAGACCTCACTGATGTCAGCATTGACCTCTGGGTTATGACTTTTTTCAGTTCACGCCTCATTTGCTATATACACGACGAATTTCACCTTTGATATTTAAAGGGAATAGACGTTCAGTGGAACCTATTACCGAATCAGAGAGGCTTCTTCGTGGACCACATGCAATCCCAACCAACCGGGCGGACAACGGCGATCACTTACTTCAACTCTGTGCCGACCACGGACTGTTCCTGTCAAGCACGAACTTCTCGCACAAGAAACGACGCCACCTTACACGGAAACCGCCAACCTCTTCACAGCGCTGGAACAAATCGACCACATCGCTATCAGTTACCTCTGGAGGGGATCGATTCAAGACTGCCGCTCTTACTGGTCAACACTGTGGATACGTAGCACGCTCTGATACGAGCCAAATTCTCCTTAAGCCTGGCAAACAGCCGTAAAAAGGCCACCGAAAACGGATACCTACGATACAACGCCAGCGATTGTTGTGAATCAGCCTTCGAAGCGAAGCTCTCCGGTCGCCTGTCAGTTCAACCATAAACTGAAGGACTCAACGAACACTGGAAGCAGATCAAGGAAACTATGCAAATATCAATAAAAACAACTTCAGACCATCACGCAGGCTCAAAACATAAACGATGGATCTCGTCAACCTCGGCTACCCTGCTGGACGCCCGCAGAACCCTTCCTCCCGATGCCGCCTATGACACAGCGCGCAAATCCCTTAAACGTCAGCTCATCAAGAGTCTGAGGAATGACCGCGAGGAGTGGTGGATAGCAAAGTGTAGAGAGATGAAGAAGGCTTCGACTGTTGGTAATAGTCGCAATCATTTCCATCTAATTAGGAATACCGGTCCTGGGAAAATAGGCGTAAGTGAGGTAATTAAAGAATCCGATGACACACTGATTCGCGATTAGTAACGCCATCTTGACCGATGGGCTGAACACTTCGAGGCTCAGTTAAACTAGCCCCCATCGACATCTAAACTATCACCCTCCACCGCGACTGCGCAAATTGTCAGTCCATGCCAGTCCGCCATCTGAAATGGAGGTTTCCCGGAAAATAAGGTATCTCAAAAGGCACAAAGTCTCCGGCCCAGACGGGCTGTCCCCATCCGTTTTTAAGCATGGAGCTTTAGCATTGGTTTCCGAGTTAACGAAACTCCTGGGCTCAGCGTGGGAGATGGAACAGGTTCCAACTGAATGGTGTGAATCGGTCATCATACCGATTTACAAGAAAGGTGACCGATCCTCCTGTAAAAACCACAGAGGAATTAGTTTAATCAACATCGCCTCTGAAATTCTCGCTGGGATCATACTCCGTCGATTGTCTACCGCATGTGAAGAATGCACGCGTGAGAACCAGGCTGGCCTTAGACCTGGTAGAGGTTGTATCGACCACATCTTGACTCTTCACCAAACTCTGGAACACCGACATTCTTTTCGTAGACCCACCATCTCTGTCTTCCTCGATCTGAAAGCTGCTTTCGACTCAGTCGACCACTCTAAACTCTGGTGCTGTCTTTCTCTGAAAGGTGTGCCTGAGAAGTTTATTTCAATGTTACAATTCCTTTATACTAATTATCCGAAGTCGAGTCCGAGCTTACGGCGCATTTTCGCCCGAGTTCACCACGGAAAGTGGTGTTCGTCGGGGTTGACATCTCTCTCCATTTCTATTCAGCTTTGTTATAGATCTGATCATGGAAGCAACCCTATCCTCGTGCGAGGATAGCGGTATCAATTTGCTTTCAGATGTCAGACTATCTGCAAACGCAGGTAAGTTGCAAACCTTTCTGAATACTAAGAGTGCTAGTGTAACCAGGTTCTATATGCGTTTTGCACCTTCAAAG